TCCTAAAGGAGACTTTAACTTTTACCAAAGTAACTTTTTGGTAAGATACTTGTACTGTACTTTTAAGTATCACTTTGTGGTACTTTATACTGCCATCCAGGAGCCAAGATTTGAGCTCCAACAACTGGAGAGAGCTCAAAGTGGAGCTGCTGCTCCTTCACATCGTAAGGAGTCCACTGAGGTGGTCCTGACATCTGATACCTCCTGGACCCCTCCCTCGGGAGGTTGTTTAACAGAGGATACAAACACTGAACTCACTGGAGGGATTATTTATCCTCTCTGGTCTGCGAACACCTCGGGGTCACCCAGGAGGAGCTGGAGAGTGTCTCTGAGGAGACAAGTGTTTGGTTTCAGCTGGWCCTGCTGCCTCCACGAYCCRACTGGTGCAGAAGCTGGAGATGGAGACATCTKTCATTCAGAGACTCCTGTCTGATTCTTATTTAACATCAACAGTTCACTCCCTGTTTGTTAGCCCAGTTAAGCCGTGGCCTTCATGCTTGGTGCCACACTGACTCAAATAGAAACAAGACAACAGACAGGAGGTCAGTAATCTGAGCCGGACAACAAATGCAGCAACGATCCAGAGCAACATAACGTCCTGTCAGCAGAACCAGGCCCCGCCGCCTCCTCCTGAGTGCTCTCACCCGGAGTGAAAGGGAATCTGTYGGCAGATGCCGAGTGGCAGGGAGCTCGTCAGAGTGGCTCTCCTGCAGTTGTCTCTGGGTGTGCCTTCTGCAAACAAAACCTCCCATTCAGCRCTGCCTCTGGAGTCCCATCTGGAGCAGTGCGAGGGCAGGGATGGAAAGACTTGATGAAAAGTGGTTGTTACGTGAGACAAACGAGAAGAGACGGGGGGAAAGTGAGAAATGATGGGTGCATTATTGCAGCCKCTGCAGAGAGCTCTGGAATAATGATGATCTCCCGCTTCCATAAATCCAACCTYATTGCACATTTCTTCCCCCCTATTTTGAGCTGTACCCCCAGCAGGTTTCCAGATAACTACTCTTAGTTATTAGCGAAGGTGGAATCTGGTTGGAGGGCACAGGACATCTGCTTTAATGTAGAACTCTTCATCAGAGCCGGAGAGGTGATAATTAGATCTGTCACTCGGCTTTAATATCTCCGAGTCGTGCTCGGCCTCGGGCTGGATGGKTGTAAAGAAATACCTTTTTGTCTCTGGAGCCCAGGGACTGAAAATACTTTTCCAGCTTGATGTGCAGGTGAGGAGTGATGGTTCCAGCAGGGCTGCTGTGGCTGAATTATCAATAAAAACAGGAAATGTAATCCCCTCCACATGCTGTGTGGGGCTTTAGAGTGTTAACCTCTTCAGTGTTGGGTCCTGTTTCAACAGATAATACAAAGTTCAYTGTTTATATTTTCTGCTGTTCATCAGTCAGGTCTGATGAAGTTCATGAATGCTCTCCGGGGAGCTCGTTGTCCAGCTGTTTTCGGGGAATCTGCTCCTCGTGATGCRAGCAGGAAGTCTGTGTTTTCTCCTGGGCTGAGCTGACCTCACCGTGACTCAGGTAAGAGGAGCTCTTCCAGGACAACAAGTCGCTGATGTCCCCCATCACCATCTAATAGTGACCAGCTGGTGGTAGGTTTGTTGGAATCATCCTTCATTATTTAAATCATCTCATAAGGTGAACAGACAGACGGACCA